AGGATATAGCAATCAACATCAAGGCCTTGACGCTATTCTTGAGGAGGTTAATAAATATTTAAAGGCCTTAATTCCCCTGTACCTTTGCAAAAACATCGGAGAATAGCCACGCATAATTGTATGAAGTTTATAAAGATTAATAAAGTTACATTTGTATTAAATAAAGAAAGATTACATCTGTATTTACTTTTTGATAATAATTAGCTACGTCACAAAATATTTAATATTATCGGGCATGTGGATAACGAATCATCAGGAGGCCGGATACGTCCAGATTATACATTAGAATCACAGAGATTTTAGGTCCATTTGCGTAAAACTGGGTTTTTGAATCCTCAAGATAATAATCACACTTTTAAGAGCCTTGGAGGGAAACACCTACTTAGCGAACAACTGAAAGATTTCAGTAATTTAGCATGCGAAAGACAAATAATGTTGATTAATAAGACTTTTAGAAGCAGCAAGTCAAATTCCTTACCTCGACCAATACCTATTACTGCTTAGGAAGAAGCAGCAGCCATAGATGAAAAAAATATGACGAAAAAAAAGCTTTTAGCAATTATTAATTCATTGCTAAATTCTGTTAATATTTCAGATCGTCCAAACTATCATGGGTTACAGCAAAAAACTAATAGCGAGTTGATAGAAATTTTACAAAGTATTAGAGATCTGCATAATGATCAAAATGAACTTGAAAATGAGATAGAATTAGAAAATTAAAATAAATAAATAATTAACTACTAGTCTCAATAACCTAATAAATATAAAAGATTTGAATTGTAGTATTAATCACATGAAGTTCTAAAAAAAAAAAAAAAGCTTTAATCATATAACTTACTGTTGGTAAATTTTCAAAATCAAAAGCCTTCTTAAGTACAGAAATTAGATAACGTTTATAGACAGTTCATACAAATTACGGCTTAACATGGCTAACCAAAAATCTTTTTGTGCGGCCGTCACAATTTAGTAGAAAATTTTCTAGGTTTAAGATTCCCGTCTTGCCAGTATTGTTAATTAAACATATAAACCATCGAGTTTGGACCAATTGAGCTTAAGACTAAAGCTAAATACAGAAATATACTTAAGATTAGGGCTGCGCAAAATATTGTAACAGATTAAAATGAAATCGAATTATCGTTATAATAAAATATTGTACCATGTAAAAAATAGACAAGCCACTGAAAAATAAAAATTTTTATGGTGCATTTTTTTAGAGTTAAGGGTTAGGGTTAGAGGTTAGTTTTATGGTAGAGTTAATTATAAACAAGTATAAGTGGGGTTTAGAGGGTTAAATAGAAGCCCTTATTGCATTTTAATCCGATTTTATTATGATTCG